GCCTCTTGGTTACGTATTCATTTTTCGAAAGTTTATAGTTCGATATTTGACGTCAACGACTTTAAAGATATGAAAAATTTTTGCAACGACATTGTCGTAAAGCAACCAAGCATTATTTTTGAAGCAGATAACATCACTTCTTTTCAAGAGTCAGTTTTAGTATCTCTTATTAAACGAGACGATTTACAGGTAGAAGAATCCAAAATTTGGAACTGTGTTATTGAATGGGGTATCGCACAGGATACCAATCTGCCTTTAAAATTGGAGGAATGGTCTGAGGAGAACTTTAGAAGCTTAAAAATAAACTTACAGCAACTTTTACCACACATTCGTTATTTTCAACTCTCGAACGAGTTTATTTTAGACAACATTAAACCTTATAAGAAAATATTGAACAAACAACTTTGGAGTGATTTAAAACAATATATGGCGGCTCCAAATCGACCTGTAAAGTCAGCTATCTTGCCTAAAAGATCGACGAAATTTAATGAATTACCGACGACTATATTATTTAATGAAGTGCCAAAAAGAGATAATGAATCTCTTTCATCAATCACTACCAACGAACATTTGGCCAAGATCTCATTTTGGATTGACGATAGTTTCAAATATGAATCAACAACATTTAAAGGTTTTTTGGCGCCACGACCTGCGTCAAAAGATATTGCAAGTAGATTTCAATTGATTCTAAGAGGAAGTAGAGATGGATTTGAGCCACAGACTTTTTGGGACATATGCAGTGGTCACGAGAAAACCGTGGTGGTTATAAAGGTTTCTGAGACAGATGAAATTTTTGGTGGTTATAATTCTTTATTATGGAAGAAAAGAATACACCTATTTGATAATTATAAGAAAGATGGCGGAGACAAAAGTTTTGTATTTTTATTAGAAAACGAAGTTCGATATTCTACTGTTAGTTACCTTAATGGTGGATGTCAAAGTTTGTTTAATGTGGCAGAAGTAGACCTAAATAAATATGGTCTTCGTTTTGGGGATATTTTTCAAATGAAGGAGAACAAAAAGATTAAGTATAATGGTTACTTACATAAATCTTTTTTTCAACGGAAGATTTGTGAATATTCATGTATTGATTATGAAGTATTTAAAGTTATCTAATGTAAGTGAGTAGAATTAGAAATAAATAAACAAATTAATTTATTTATCCCGTATTTAAAAATATTCTTCGGTTGTAGGGTTTTTTATGTAACCCTCCAAAAACTTCATATTTTCTTGACCAAATACTGTATTTACTAATTTGGGTAACATAGGAAAAGTGACAGAAATAAAATTGCTTTTTGAGAAAATTGTATGAAGGTATACAAGCTAAAAAATATTTATTATAAATCATGATAATTATTTTACCGAAATGAATCTAATTATAAAAGAATATCAAATTAAGTGATATTTTACTATTCACATTTTTTAATAATAATATAATAATAACCATCAATTGAATTTATTCTCATTTCAATAAACCTAGAATTTTTAGTATTTTAATATACAGTATATCATATATTATTAGATTAGATGGAAAAAATCCTATCCTATAAAAATGTTGATTCGGATTTACTTTTCAAATAAATGATCATGTAAATAATTAAAAAATCAATTCTATGTACGTATAGTGTTGTAGGAACAATTGGGTTGCTAACGCGACAATCAGGATGCGTCGCGTAATAATGAAAAATGGTGGCAGAATAATATAATAATGTGGTGATTACATGTAATAGGGATGGTTTCTTATTACGGTAATCCTATCCCTTTACTGTTTCCTAATTACAATTCTGGATGCAGTTCCTTTAGCAGCCCATCTAATGAAGAAGCTGTTGGTGCCTCTTTTCATTATCCCATTATAATGATCTAATTTCTTCTGTGCGTCCTTTATTTAAACTCAGGTATCGCGTTACGTGTCTACTGCATAACACGTTACCACACACTACCAATGTCTCTCTCATTACTGCTAAAAAAACCCGAATTCAAAAAATGGTATACATCTCATAAATAGTACCTGACAGAATCCCGCGATAAATGGAAAAAGGAAAAAAGGCTTCATCAATTTTTTAATTTTTCTATTCACATACAAAACACCAATCAACAATTCGAATGGCAAATTCTTTATTAAAAGAAATGGTATCAAAGGGTTGTACAGGAAATTATTTACTTAAGGTCCACATATACGAAAAAAACTATTTACAACACCTAGGTGAACAAAGGGTAAATTTGATACATCTATATACAACTGAGCTAATTGCTTAGTAGTAGTTGGGAGGGGCTTCACGCTTGTAGTAGTAGTATGGGGTGACTTCAGCATCACGCTTGTAGTAGTAGTATGGGTGGCGTCACGTTTGTAGTAGTGGTATAGAGGATGCATCACGTATGTAGTAGTAGTAAGGAGATGCTTCAGCATCACGCTTTTAGTAGTAATATGGCATTGAAGTTTTCTAAGATTGCTAGTTAAACAGAAAATTGTTGCATACGAGCAATAGCAAAAGCAATGAATAAGGTAACAAAAAGAAGTGCGGATTTCATTTTGCAGGTAAGATTTTTTATATGATTCGAGGAATTTATTTTCTCGGAAGTGAGGAATGTCGAAGGGGACCAACGCGAGTTTATATATAATTAATCTTTCCTTCTATTTTTTGCTGTAGTTCTTGGGGCAACAGGTGAACTAGGAACCCAGATAGTCAACCAAGCTCTCGATGCCTCGTACCACGCGACCGCTTTGGTTCGAACTTTCCGTTCACATGTTATCAACTACATACCCCCAATCTTGTAATAATAGTTGGGTTCGTATTTAATCGTCAAGATCTGGGCAAGGTGATTGAAAGTCAGGACGTCGCTATAAACTGCATTGGCCCTCAACTATTCGGCAACGACACTGATGTATGCTCTCGAAGTTAAAAGATGATAATTGAAAGCATGGTTAAAAATAAAGTTAGAAGATTGATTGTCATCACTGCGCAAGGCATTAGAACAATTAGTGGTATGGATTCTTCTAACAGTTCAAGCAGTTCCAGTTCTAGAAACATTAGCAATAATGAGCACAATACCAAGGGCTATTTGATGTTACCAATAACCTCAACGTCCACACAAATTCCAGTAATCTTAAAGGATCAAAAAAGATTTTTGGTAAATTTTTTCCAAATAAGATTCTCAACGATAAGGAACCTCAGGAACGATCAACTTGGAAACTAGTGATTTCATTAACTGGTGTTTATAGAATAATGGATAATGATGATATCTGGAAGAACGAGAAAAGTGGTAAAACGAACTCGAAAAAAAACTCGGTCAAGATATTGTAAGAGGTAAAAAAACACGACAATAGTCACGTGACTTATTTTAACCAGAGTATCGCGAAGCATTAACCTGTAATAATAATAATCAATAACGAACAATAGGAATACATAATGTGAATGATTTACCTTTAAGCCTTAAAATGTTCTATAGATTTCGATCTATTTTCACTCTTAAAAGTCCCATCTAGATGTTTAAAAAATTGTATAAATAAATGAGACAATGTTATTCATAAAAAGAGAGTACAGTAGTGTGAGAAGTGTGAAGAACTAGGTCAAATCGTGCGCCTCAAATTACCTATTTGTTACCTTAAATCACTAGTAACGGTTACACGAATTCTGTTGGCATTAGCGACAGACTCGCCGTTTGCCCGTTACAATATCGAGAGTCGATGTGACTCATTTCATTATGAGCTAGGTACAGTACAATGCAATCGATGGATGGGGAAAACTGATAATTGAAGGTAGTTCATGATGTTCACATATGTTGGCATGCAATATACTGTATATATATATATATATTATTCACAGTACTGTATATTTATATTTATTTTTTTTGTAAATAATAAAATTAAATTGAAGTTAATGAAAAATTTTCTCAGCTGGCTGATGATGGACTTTAAGTTGTAGAAAATAAGCGGTTTTGTAGGAATCTCTTGAAAAAAATATTCAAATTAGTATACATTGACTCTGCACACTATCTAAATTTTGTTGTTTTTCTAAATAAATCTTCACGTGAAAACAAATACTCGTGTCGGTTTACAGTATTTATAACCATAAATTTTATATTTCTAACAAAGTAATTAAAACAAGTACATTATTGTGAATTTATATGCAAATATTGTATTTACTTTAATCGATGACTTTTTTTTATATTGACCTTTTGTCATCAATAACAAGTTCGCTCACAATTTCAATTTGCAAATAATATACTTTTAATTGTTATTGTCTTTGTTTTAACTTTAACTTAATTAATAAATTAATAAATCGTTTTTTAAAATTTGTTTTATGGATTTAATTTTGTTTAATTTTTCAATAGCATACTGAATAAATAATTGTTACAATTTTACAAATATTATAATAATTGATTTTTTTTAAATATATTATTATGGTATTTACAAAATAATTCGTTTTTTTTTTAATTAATTAATTTTGAATTATTTTTGTTTATTCTCATAAACTGCAATACAAATATTATTTCATATTGATGTTTGTCTAATTAATTTCTAATGATATTTACAAGATATTTGCTTTCAAGTAATTTCAATCTGATTTTTTAAATAACATTAATAATATTTATTTTTGTAAATTTTAGATACAACTTTTTGGGGGGCTTTTTCCTGTAGATAAACATCATTTCTTTATTTACAAGGTATATATCATGAAAGAAACAACATCTCTTACATACATAAAGTAGCAAGTTAAATGCTAGCTTGCCTACACATACATATTTAGCTAATATTAAATAAGAAATTCAAAATAATACTATATACTAGCTGTGTCTAAATAGTGGTTATGCCTATCTACTCAGAAAATTTTGTGAAGTCTTTTGTAAATTGTAAGTAAAATAATTGAAAAAGAGAAAAAAATAAACATAACTAAAACTTAGACTAAGTTAAGTAAACTATAGAATCTATAAGTAAAAAATTAATTATTTTTCAAGAAAATCTCCAGACAGGCTTATTGTTCCATCTCTTTGACTTTTTGATTACCATATATAATAGAGCATATATAATATTGTTTATTGTTATAGTTGTTAGTAATTATGTGTTACTATTGTAATACAAAATTGATTTAAACAGGTTCAGTTTTTTTGTTTTGATTTTTAAGCAAAATCTGATTAGATGATTAAATAGTTTTGATTATCTGAAAGGGTTAAATTAATTTCAGTTTTTTGGCCAGATAAAAATATTAAAAAATTTGAAATAGTATAGCAAATATTACTATAGTAAAGTTAAATTTAAAAGTTAACTTGAAACAAACAGTAGATTCATTAACTTTGTTTAAGTATATATTTTGAAAAATATTTTGTTTAATGAGTATAATGGTAATAATATAAATGGTTTTTATAATAAAATTATAATAAAATAAGGATAAGAAGGAGTGCAAAAGAACAAAATAATAAAAAATTGTCATAGACCTTTTCTTATATAACCAAAGAATAAGTAAGACTTTCAAACCTGTGTAGATTTTAACTAGAGGTTTTATTCTATTGTACCAGTTGTCTTGAGAATTTTTAAGTTTTTGAACTAAGGCTTACTTGTAATAAAAAATAAAAAATATTGTTTCTTGCTTAAAATTATTATAAAAGAAAAAATTTTAACAAAATAAACATAATCAAAAGAAAGTTTTTTTAATTTTAGATAAAACTTAAAACTATAATAATTAAATAATAATTAATACTATTTAAAAATTTTAAAATGAATAAATATATATAACTATTTAGTAATAAAAAATATAACATTCAACAAAAAATATTATTTAAAAATAAAAATATTCAATAATAAAAATATTCAATAAAAAAAAAAACTCTTTTTGCAAATTTATCACTTTTTTAAAAATTATCTTTTTTTTAATTTTGAGAACATCATTAAAAAATCATCTTTAAGAACATAAGAAACCTACAAATACTATAGAAAAACATAATCAAAACAAGACAATTGTTCAAAAAGATAAATTTTACTTTGTGAAGTATATTTACTACCAATAATTTCTTGCTTGTTAGCTCCACTATCTTTGAACAGACAAATTTTAAAAGAGAAAAAATAAGTACAAGCATTACAATTTACAGTAAGCTCTTAGAAAAGTCAACATCAATTCTTCTAACTACTAACTAGTTATGTACAAAATTTTGCATCTTTCTAGATACTAGAAGAATCTTGGCTAGCCAGATTACATCTGATAAATTAGGCAACCTTGATATCAAACAAGAAAAAGAGAATATTAAACTTTTCTAAAAGAATCCAAAACAAAAGATCCAAAGTAATAACCAATAACAGTTTCAACATTAGTAATATTTTCAAGTTACGGTATATGAAAAAATTTTCCAGACATAAAGAAAAATCAGATTCAGCTTACCTCCAGTAAGTGATTGGTATCACAAACACATGTATTCAACATATTAATCATATTAAAATGTTCAAGTAAACAATATAATGTATAAGTAAATAATATAATATATAAACAATATAAACAAGTTTACAAAATATGCAAACCAAGTATATATGTTAACAACAAACATGTTATTAAAATAACATGTCAAATGAATAAGCAAATAATGTTAACAAAACCATTTATGAATAGAAATTTCACAATAAAAACATAATATTATGTATATATAACAATAATAACACTTGTTATTAACTATATAGTTTATGACTTTAATAACTATAGTTAAACAGAATTCAAGTTCTATTTCAAATAAAGAAAATCAGTTACCAACAATACCATCTGGTACAAATAACAACAACAAGGTACTGTAATGGCATAATTAATTTTATTATATTATCTAATTATTATTATTATTTTATTATTATTATTTTAGCTTTTTTTAATATTATTTTATTATTATTTTATTAATTTATTCTTGAAATTATTATTTATAGGAAGAAATAGTATTATACTATAAGATTGTTATATACTAGAGATCATGTGACTATATTATTAACTTGTGTATTTTCACCTATCCTTTAAATTTCTATAGTTTTTGTATGGTAGACGATCTTCAGAGCAAAATATCTTATTATTTCAATAAAAATCCAATTAAAGTCGTTCTATCAAACTATAAGCAAAGTGACTATAACAATGTATATTATTAAGATTACTAAAGCTAATTACTTAATATAATTTTGAATAATTTAGGGATTTTCATTCCAAACAGAATTATTATTCTTTATTAAAGGAATGATTATACAACTAAAAACATATATAAGAATGGTCATTTTATCCTTCTGGAAGACAACACAGTTATAGATTTCTTATAATTATAATTATTATATTATTTGACCTTTATTCCTTTTTTAAATCTTTAATAAACTATTATTTAACTTTTTTTTTTTTAAATCGCAAGCAGGCATTAAATGCGAGACTTTATTTAAACAATGAGTTTATTGTCATTACATTAACAATCTTTATAAGGAGAAGTAAATACAAATTAATTGTAGCCTATTGCAACTAAACTAACTACACGAATTTTCACCACATAGATGAATTTATATAACTAGTGCTGAATGGCCAATGCCTATTCAGAATGATGAGACTATTGTTGGAATAAATATTTGCTTGTTAGTGAGGTTGTTTGAGTTTTGTAATATACTAAGTACTTTGATAAACACTGAATTGTCATTTTTGGTTGAGTTGTTACTACTACTAATGTTGTGCTTGGTGTTTTTTTCCATTTTATTTCTGAGGATGGTAAAGTTGTTGAGATCGCAGATCGTTATTTCCAAACTTTGTAGAGAATTTTCAGTGCATAGTTGGAAATTTCCTCTCTTTTTTTTTGAATATGATTGAAATTAGGTTGATAGTTACATGTGGTAAGGAAAAGTAGGTCCTGGCTTGTTGGATTGAGCATATTCCTTAGATTCGCTGTTATTGGATTCAAGAATAAGTTTTTATAGCTTGGGCTTTTTCTTGTTGATGAGAGGGCAGCTATATAAGCATGAGAAGATATGTGAAATGTCCTTGGTAAAGGCTTCGCACCTGGGGCAAAGGTTATCAGTGTATAAGCTAGGGTATCTTTTATTTATCTTTGATCTGGTGGGTAGCTGATTGGCAATTATTTTGGTTCTGAAAGTGGATAGGGCTCTGTATTTGAGTTGGTCAGGTTTTTTTAATTTCTTGTTGGCTTTTATGATGGTTTCGAGGTCAGTAAATGTTGTAGACTTGAAGATTGACGTATGA